GTGTCAATTTTTAGAGACTTCGGAAAGGGGTGGGGGAGGGGGAGGGGTGGGAGGAGGTGGGAGGGGGAGGGGGAGGGGGAGGGGTGAGAAGAGTTGCATAAAAAATATTTTCCTAAAAAAAATTATTTTCACTCTAACCAAACAATAGAAAATATTTTCCACTTACCAAACAAACAAGAGAAAATAAGTGATAAAACCACTCATTTTCCATGAAAACATTTTCTGGGAAAACATTTTCCATGAAAAACATTTTCCTTCGTACCAAACACACCCCAAGAATGGGCTAATCCATCATCAATGTCTCTTAAATATGTATTTTTCTAGTAGATTTAAGTTACAGCCTAATGATTCTTTTACATTATCAGGCAATATAATAAGTTATTTATTATTTATTAAAAACTAATTAATTTAAACAAAATTATCTGTGATTACCTTTTAAATGACATAATTGTAAGTATTTTATATTGTAAGTGCACACGAATCGACTGAACGAGCTTTGCAAATAAATGAAGAAAGATCAAAGAAGCCGAAACAGAAATCGGTTGAACATGTTATTTTGCAACAAAAGCTTTCTTTGAAGGTGAAAAGATGACTTATGACGTGGCTCGCGGCCGTAATTTTTTAAGTCACAAGTCCGACTTGTAGATATTTTCGCCAAGTCAAGAAAAATTGATGTCTACCAAAACATCTCTCGGAGTAGTTAATTTATCTACTTTAAAAGGGAGTGTTGATAAAAATAACTAGATTCATCTCAAGTACATGAATTACTTAGTTTATGTATAAGAAAATTAATGAGGATGCATGTATGAATTTATTCATGAATTAAGGAACATAAAAAGTCTAGGATCAATTAATATACATGTACTAGATTAGGTACATGTTAGGAGAAAATGCATAGATGTATATATCTATGTAGTCTAATCATTTTATTTGAGCAAGTTGAGTAAGTAGAGAAGAATCATTTTCTCACTTGTAGAATTTTATTGAGAGTCATATCCTCCTCCCCAAAATTTCCTACAAGCTTATACTTTGTGTAAGTCTCCTCTTATTCTTCTTGAACTGCTAATTTGTCTGTTGAATCTGAGATCCTGCTAATTTTATAACAGAGGGTAGTTTTGTTTATCGTAAAGAAATAGCAACAGTGACTTTAGAAGTTCACTCAATGTGGCAGCATTTCTGTGAATTTAATTTGTGTTTGTCATAATCTTTTATTCAATTACAGTCAAATTTTCTTAGGGTATTGTTACAAAAGCTTGCACCTACAAATGTTACGAGGCAGCTCAAACAACTCGAAATCAATAAGGTAATACAGAAACATTTCTTTTTTAGGGATTAGAGCATCAAAACAATGTGTTATTTTATCTTTTAATTATCATCGGAACTTAGGTAGTAGTACGTAATATATGATACGAGGGGGGGCATATGCCATTGAAGAAGATAGCACTAGCATATGTAAATATGTTATTAAAGAATGGATTTAAATTTTCTGTTATTTTTCATACTCTCAATTTAGTTTAATTTATTATGTACTAACATGTTAGTTATCACTTTTATCAGATTATCAATTAATGTTTATAATAGATATTTGCTATAATTACTTTATAAATAATCTTGTATAAATATTCATTAATATGACTTATATTGCAGCCCTCATGTTGTTCAGGCACTTTGTTGCCATGGTTATACCAATTAGATAAAATAGAAACTCAAAGTCTTTCAACAAAACAGGTAAGTATTCTGGCAGGAGTGAGGATGAGTGAAAGTTGCCTAGCAATAAAGGCGGACCCAAAAATTAAAGTTTATGAATTTTAAATTCACAACTCATCTAAGTTATTTGGAATCTCAATTAAATATTTATAATTATTAATATATTTCCTAATACGATTACATAATTTAAACAAAAATTACTGGATTCGTCCGAACCCACAATAGTTTAGCTTCGCCTTTCAGTTATGAGCTAGCAAACCCTTGTGTCATCTATTATATCACACAAAAGGTAAGGCCACTTTCCATTTTGACATTAAAGAAAACCAAATAAAACCCAACAGGAAAAATATATCTGTGGCAATAAAAATTCAGAAAATAAAAATATATGAAAAGAAAAGAATTATCATAATAAGAAGGTGATGAAATGTATGCAGAGAGGTAAGAATTTAGAGTGCATGCACGAACCATGAAGCAACAATTTAGAAGAAAAGAAAGAGCAGCTCTTCTGCATGACAAAAAATAAGATATACTCCCCATGTTTATGAGAACTTATTTCCTTTTTGATCCGTTCCAAAAGAATGATCTATTTTTAATGTAACAATTTAGCTTATACTTACAATTACACCTTTAATGAAAAGCTTTTATAACCACACAAATATTCTGGGCCCCCTTTTGACTTGCTTAGGACCACAAATTCCAAAAGTATTTCTTAAACTCCGTGCGTAGTCAAATACGTTCAAATAAATTGGAACGGAGGGAGTATAAGAAATTACTTGTCTTTTTTTTTTTTTTTTAATCTCACGCTGGAAACGTAAATGTCCATAGGGTAATAAACGTGAGACCTATTATATTATGTTGTCTACATACATATATACACACACAAGAATGTAAGTGTTTTTTGTGTCTACATATATTTTTGTGTCTCATATAGAATGAGATAACAAAGCTGTGTGTGAAAAATAATTAACAGTCACGGGAGAGCAGCAGATAGCATTTAATAAGAAAAATAGACTGATGGTTAGGTATAACCCACACTAGAACTATAGTCATTCTTTTCTTTTGCATTTATTCATGGTTTCAACTATGTGTATATAAAGAGTGAAACAACAAAGCTGTTGGAATGACATAAATTTCTAAAAACACAAACACTTAACAATTTTGGTAATAAAACAAAATATGTCTCATATAGCAGTAGAGAGAAACAGGAGAAGACAAATGAATGAACATCTCAAGGTTTTGCGTTCCTTAACCCCTTGTTTCTACATCAAAAGGGTAATTTATTTCAAGTTTTTCCCTTTCTCTGAATCTTTGTATTCATCTAGCTGGCCTTCGAAAAAAGTATTATTCGTCACCTTTTCTTTTAATATTACTGCTTGTGACAATTCTCTCTCTATTTTTTATTTTTTATTTTTTTTTTACCGATCATCATCTATTTTCTTTTTATGCATTTTGCACTGCTTTGGTTCTGTAGGGCGTGATTTAATTGTAATTATTATCAGAAAACTATTTAGAGTCATTATTTAATTCTGCAATGAATTCTCAAGGGCATAGAAAACAACATCTGGTTTCGAGTTTGCTGAATGAAAAATAATAAATTTTCAGTCGTACGTCAATATGATCAACATTATTGTCAAGCATAATCACGAAAACCATACTCCATATTTATTTTCCTTTTTCCCTTTTTCTTTTTCGTGTTCTTGAATTCATCTTATTGCTACTATATATGCAATGCATAACTCAGTTCGAGTTTATATTCTACATTATCAGGTTAAGTTGACCTACAACAACGTATAAATATATATCAAGCATAATGGTTTAAAAGTACTTATATGATCAGTATATTTAACTTAAACTAATTCATTATTGAAGATATTAGAAATATCAAAAAGCGCCGTGTGATCCAGTTCCTTGAAAACTTAAGAACCTTTAGGGTTTGATTTCTTTTCGTTCTTTTTAATTCCTTTTAGTGTTTGATATCTTTTAATCTTCTGTTTTCCTTGTTTTTCTTGTTCTAATATTTATAGTCCTTTTCATGGAAATTACTGAAGGGGGATCAAGCATCAATAATAGCAGGAGTAATTGAATTCATCAAAGAATTACACCTAGTTCTACAATCTCTGGAGGCGAAAAAGCGACGAAAGAGTTTAAGCCCTAGCCCTGGTCCTAGTCCAAGGCCAATTTTGCAACTAAGTCCCACACCTGAAAGTCCATTTAGTCCTAATAATAATAACCTATTCAAGGAACTTGGAGCATGTTGTAATTCTCCAGTGGCTGATGTTGAAGCAAAGATATCAGGATCCAATGTTATATTGAGAACCATTTCTAAGAGGATTCCAGGTCAAGTTGTGAAGATAATTAATGTGTTAGAGAAACTCTCCTTTGAGATTCTTCATCTCAACATCAGCAGCATGCAGGATACTGTTCTATACTCCTTTGTCATCAAGGTAGATTAATTCATTTATTTCATGAGTTAATTCTTTGGAAACAACATTTATGTAGCAACATTGTTCCTTATAACGATTTCTAAAGGGATTTAAATGGTCCTGGATTACTCCATCCATTGCCTTAAAGGTTTTCGGTTGGATGATCAGATTCTTTTATATCCCAAACTTGTTGGCAGTGTCAATTATATTCTTCATTAATGTAACCGTGATCATTAATGTAACGATACAAGGTGATATTTTTTTAAGGCGAATTATCTATTACAACATCAAGTTAAATAAAATTCTTTCTTTCTTTTAGCCTCAAACGTTTTTTAAATTACTAACTCTATTATCCTTGTATTGATGATTTTATTACAGATAGGACTGGAGTGCCAACTGAGTTTGGAAGAGCTAGCTGTGGAAGTTCAGAAAAGCTTCTCATCTGATGTTCTTTGTATTAGCGAAATATAGAAACTAAAAAGGAAAAATATCTAATGTACACCAATATTATCTTCTTACACAAGCATTATCGTTTTAATATAAAGTGTAAGAAGCTAATTTTGGAGCGTAACAAATAATTTCCAACATAAGGTTTCTACTACTTATATGCTAAGTATAGGGCTTAGAAAGTTCAGGATACTATATATAGAAAGACTTTGTCCTTCCACTATCTTTTCATATGTAAACAGAAGAAAGTAGATGCATGCACGTACAAGAATCATGCACCTTTACTTCAATCAGAACACTAGCATTAGCAAAGCCAAATATTAACAGTATATGCAAGTGTTTTAGTTTATGCTTCTTGAGGGACATTAACTTCTGCAGTAGATTCTTCTACTTCCTTTTTGATTAGTGCTATTTTGAACACACAGTTTCGCTTCTAATTCGGTTTATGCATAGTAAACTGTCCATTTTAGTCTATCCTCAACGAACAATGAATGATTATTTGCAGCATGCAGTAGTTCACAATAAGAAGCAAAAAGAATAGGATCGAATGCTTCTTTTAGATGATTAGAGCAATTACATAACACTTTTTAACCAACAAACTACCAGTAAAAAAAAAAAATGAAGAAGAAGAAAAGAAAAAAGATACCGTGAGAAGGGTTAGATCTTGTTAAGTTGGTTTGACATGGTTTACGCATTACTGGTTTCCATAAGAGTTAATATATTCATTAGCTAAACCCTTTCTTACCCTACTTTTGAATTTGTATTTTGTTCGAATTCAATCACGGAGGCCTTCCCGACATATGTTTCAAAGTCTCCTATAGTATGCTTTTACTTCGTCTTTCCCTTGACAAATCATCAAATTTATACAATACTTGAATTCTCGATATAGATGCTACACAGTTGGTTCTCATCCTTCAAAGACTACGAATTTAATAATAAGAGCATCCATTGACAAAAGGATCATCCATAGATGATCATCTCATGGCTTTTGAGAGCGAACTCAATCAGATGGTTATGTTTTACAATTTTGTTTGACTTGCTCCTACGAAACCAAGATTAAAATGATTGAAAATATAGGTCATTCACAACCACGGATGAAGGATTTCTCGAAATTGGTTAAGTTTTGGAAGGCTAAAATTAATCTTTGAGGTGTTATTCGCCTCCAGACCCTTGTCGAGTCGTTACACATTGTCCAGCCAATGGCCCAATGTCCTAATGCTATTCTCTTTGGGTTTTGATTCGTATTTGGTATTTCTTTTGATTCCTATTTGGAATTAGATTTGGCTTTAAGAGAAAGTGTCATTCGTTACTTATAAATAGGGAAACCCCTAGAGAATTATTTCATGATCGTTGTTATTAGTCTTTGAAAGACTTTAGCACATAAGAGAGTTTTGAGAGAGCAGTCACTTTGAAAGAAAAGAGAAAATCATTTTCTTTGCTCCAGAAATTTCTATGCTTACTAACTTTCTTCAAACTGAATTTCCCCATTTTCCCCTCATCTGGATTGAAAACTGGACAAGTAAAACTAAAAACTGGACTCTCTCCGTACAAAATAACGATTCTTTAACAACAGTAACTATTTCCTCTCATCTGGGCGTCTGGTGCACACGCGTCGTCTCATGGAGACGTTGACCGACCAAAATTCGGTGCATCCTTCAGAGATAACGAAACCTCTACTTAAGAAGACGACACATGAAGAAGGAATTCCATCAACATCGAACTATGCAGTAGCTTTGAAACCTCCGACAATTCTGAGCCCTTGTGCAAATCGATACGGCAACCCAGAGGTCAAAGCTCGTTTTTCAATACATAATGGAATGCCAGCAGTCATCTTTAGAACTTCTGACTACTATGGAGTTATGGCTGAGGAATGGAGGCTCACAATTGTAGGTAAGTTTCTAAGAACTAGACCTCAGATGGAAAAAATAAGATCTAAGTTTGTGGAGAAAATCACAGTCAAAGGCAATGTCAAGATTGGGGTGTATGATTATCGTACAGTCATTCTTGATTTCTCAAATGAAGATGAATGGAAGAGTGTGTGGTACAGAATATCTATTGAAATCGAAGGCCAACTTATGTGGCTAGAGAAATGGACACCGAATTTCAAGCCGGAGGAGGACTCGCCCGTAGTTCCGGTGTGGGTGCTTCTTTCTGAGTTACCATTTCATTGCCATACATGGCATTACGTTAAGAAAATTGTGTCCCCAATTGGAGCACCTCTCTCAATGGACCTGGCCACTGATCACAAGACTAGACCAAGTATAGCTAAAGTCCGAGTCGAGGTAGATCTCACCAAACCAAAGCTTACACTACTGGAAAATTCACCTATGGCTACGCAGGGAAAACCGTTCCAATAGGTAAGACAATCGTTGCCATAGACGTACTGCTACGGTTCAGCTCCCGTTCCACGAGCTGTCGTGGCTATAGAGTTTATGGAACGGTTTTTGGAACGGTTCCAGTAACCGTTGCTATAGCATAGTCTATCGTTACGGTTTTCCCTCCTCCTGTTGGAACGATTATTCTTATCAATTGCAACGGTTAATAACCGTTACCATAAAGTTAAATGCAACAGCCATAAACCGTTACTATATCTATCAAAACCGTTACAGGTATAATAGAAATGGCAACGATTTCTTTAAGATATTGCAACGGTTGAACTACCTATTGCAACGGTTTGGAGATTGTTTTGGAACGGTTTGTAGATACTATTGCAATAGTTCACAAACATATTGCAACGGTTGTTAGATTATTTTGGAACGGTTTGCAGGTCCTATGGCAACGGTGATCTACCTATTGCAACAGTTTTTATATGATTTTGGAACGGTTTTCAGACCCTATGGCAACGGTTTTGTTAGCTGTAACAATTTAATTGAATTAAAAATAGTGCCCCCTGTTGTAAATAAAGATTTTACGTAAATATACAATAAACTATAAAACACTAAAATTTATATAAGCACAAAATGAAACTTTTGATAATCCAAATTGTCGGACAAGTTAATTATAAATCCATAGATATGAAACCAATAACATATATTTGATATTTCAACATCAAAAGTTTTAAAATATTTTCATAACAAACATTCCTAGAAACCGCCACATGCATCTACAACAATCAACAATTCAAAATTCAAGTAAGGTCTAGATCTTCATCACTCCCTCCGTCTTCCATCTCTTCATCTACTCCACCTACAAAAGAGTAGTATAAAGTGAGATTTGCAAAATGGATTAAAGATAAAACATTTGCTCTTTAACTCTAACAAGACATGAAACCATGTTCAAATGTGTGGAATCAAGGAGCCATGTTCTCTTTATGCATTTTCAATGCACGCTATTTCCTGAAGTTCGAGGAATGCACACCTATATGTTATCGAGGAAAGGATGGAGTTGGCAAGAAACAACAATTTTCATGCTGCAAATACTGCAAAATGCCATGTATTTTCCAGATGTCATGGCAAGAGACACCTTTGCGTAATTTGAACTGGTTGTGTGAGCAAGTGATATGGACAGAAAACAGTAGAATTATACAGCAGAATCATAGAGGAAAAGAGATGGCAAGAGACAACTTAGTCACGGACCAGAAGGACATGATTTCATACACACAAAAAATATTACAAAAAAGGTTGAACAAAGCTGGGCAACAGACAACAATTGCAATAACACAATACTGTGTCAGTAAAGCAGCTAGGAATGGGATCGAGGAAAAGCACTCGATAGAAACAAAAGGCACAAAAGCGTGGATAACAATTCAAAGGGGTATGGCACACAGTGAAGGCATGTGTCTTGGAACTCTAAATTTGAGTAGAGTTTTAAAATATGACACAAATCTCTGGACAATACATTTTCCAACAGAACAATCACGTGCAATAGAAAGAAAAATGAGTAGCTGGAGACATAACTGGGCAACAAAGGAGCAGTACACTTTTTGGCGTGGAATTTTAAAATCAATTGTTACAATCTGGGCTACAATATCAACACACTATGTTAGCTTGACAAGTCCAAAAGGAAGACATATAGCAGGAACAATAATAACACGAATGGGAATAAGTGCAGATGGCATCAATTGTTAACTGTATATTCACTGTTCCAATTTATGTAACACTATTACCTTACTAGTTCATTCCAAAAGCAAAGGCACAGTGAGAAGCTAACATAAAAAACAGGAGAAGAAGAGGAAAGAGAAGACGTGCCATATTTGCTACGGACTAACCTTGGTTGTTACTGCCAGCGGATGGACGATTGATTGGTTGAATAGCACCTTGTTGTGCAGAAGCAGCTTCTCCAGGTGCACGAGCACTGAATATTAGCATGTCAGGATCAAGTCTTAAATCAGGGTTGAGACGTTGAAGTCGTGTAACGACGTTCATCGTAATATCTTGTTCCATAGCATCCTTTTGTGCATTGAGCTCTTCCAGCAATTTTTCCTTTTGTGCATTGAGCTTTTCCAACAATTTTTGTTGCATCCTCTCTTCCATTTCCTCCATTTTTTGTTCCATTCTCTCATCAGTAGCATTTACAGAGGATCCAAAATCTCCTTTTTTCTTTTTTAAGACAGTTTTGTTGACTCCTCGTCCATACAATCTTGCCCGACCTGGGTGCCCAGGTCCCATCACTGATGCAAACGCGTCAACTGAATCAATACCATCTCCACTTTCTTGAGTGGATTGTATTCTCTCCATTTCAGCCTACAAACCAAATGCAAGAGAATAAAGTATAAGTAAAATAAAACTAAGTCAATAATTAAGAACAAATAAATACTCACGATAATCTTTAAACTAGAAATTTCTTACAATTTTACTCATTGTACTCTCATAAGAGCTTTTGTATACTCGATCAGGTTTTCTTTTTCTTGTGGCCACAAAGATATCTTTACTTGATAGACTATCCGAAGTATCAGCCATTTCCTTCTTTTTTTCCTAGTAAAAAAGAAAACTGGTATAATAATGTTTTCATTCAAAGTTAGCAAGTTCATACTTAAAGAAAAATAAGAGAAAAAATCAAACCTCGATGATTTGAGCAAAACTTGTTTTTCCAGCAGTGTGTGGATGCTTCAACTTTTTTCGATTCTCGATATTGGTTTCAGACATTTTCTGCAAATAAACAAGCAAACATTATTCATACTTAACTTGCACAATTGAAGCATGCTTACTCAATGTGAAACAGTCTGTAGGTTCAAGGCATGGATAGAATATTGAAGAAGACGTGGAAACAAATTCCTTATGCATCACATGGACAATTTGACTTAGAACAGGAGTTGTTTTGAAGGAAAAATAAAACCTATTATGTTGTGAAGTACTTATGTTGGCTTCCAGTCACTAACTAGTATGACGAAAATGTAAGGCTAGTATCTTCTGATTCATTTTTGT